CCAGCAGGCAGGTAACCCAGAGTCATAACAAATGAGACTAAAGTCTAAGTTAATGTTATTGCAATCGCAGCTTGAAGTCAAAGGGTATGGACTATAACTGGTTTCTTTGGTATCAATTATATTCCAAAAATTATAACACCAGCAGGCAGGTAACCCAGAGTCATAACAAATGAGACTAAAGTCTAAGTTAATGTTATTGTAATCGCAGCTTGAAGTCAAAGGGTATGGACTATAACTGGTTTCTTTGGTATCAATTATATTCCAAAAATTATAACAATGCTTGAAAGATGAAGATAACATGGAGACTACAAAGTACAAGTATTGTAAGAATAAGTGAGTTGATAGCAGTGAGAGTCCTGACTACTATCAGATCCAAGAGGGCTAAAAAAAAAAAAAAAAGTCTAGAAGGAAGAAGAGCAAGAATCTGAGATGAAGTTTCTAATACAGATAAATACCATCGGGACTTTTAGCTAGTGCACTAAGCATTTGGCATCCCAAACCTGAACCTTTAAAGCTTTAATTTATTTAATCTCTAACACAATTCTTTAAGGAAGCCTGGTTGTCTATCACATAAGTATGTGCAGATGGATGAAAGAGTAGATGGATGGATGAATGGGTGGGTGGATGGATGAGTGGGTAGATGGATGGATGGAGGGGTGTATATGTATTCTGTTCCACTCAATAATAACTTCAGCAGAAACTAGATATCAAGAAATTATGCCTGGTTTGAGGTTATCCCACACTGGAAAAAAATAAAATAAAATCAACAAACCCATACCTCAGGCCTCCATGGGATTTAAAGTCTCATGAGGAAAGTACTATTAAATAATGTAACACAAGTAAACACTAATATAAATGTCAAAGTCTATAAACAAGAAGTACTGGATTGTTAAGAACGATTATGCAGGAGAATCTAGCAAGACCTGAGATAAGCGGGAGTTAGCAAAGTAAAGAGTGAAGGAAAAGACAACCACAAATAGAGGGAATAGCCTATGGAGAGGCTCGGAAGTGGTCCACAACTTGCAGGTTCAAAAAACTGAAAAGAGCTGGTGTAGCTAACTTACTGTGAGAAAGGAGGAGTTAGGATGACCAGACCCTGCAGAGGAATTTTATAGTTAAAAAATACTGAGGAGGCCACAGTCATGTTGATATTAATTTATGTTATTATCTACTATGTTCTATCTTTAATTAAAGCCATTATCACCATAAAAGTGTATCTACGCCAGAAGAAATTATTTTACATAAACTGATATTAATACCAATCTCATGACAATGTCAGCTAGCAGAAAAACTCTTTCTTATGAAAATATTATGAAAATTATAATGGAGGAACCAAAATTAGAGAAAAGAGTTATTCTACTTATCTTTTTATATCTGACACAATTATATATATATTTAAAAATGTAGGGAGGAAGATAAATTTAATGGTTATTTTAATGGTCAGTACCACAAACATCCCCAACTCTATCAAACGTGATTCTTGTTCTATTTTTCTTATTAAAAAAAAAATAAAACAAAAAAACCAAAAACCTTTCCATATCATTTAAGAGTAATGAGGTCTGAATGTAGCAAGGTTCTGGGGCTTCTAATTTTCAAGAATGAATGTCTCTAGGGGGCTCACATTATCGGTGAATATAAATAAGCAAGACCCAGTAAAACGTTTGAAAACGTGCATAAATGCCAAAACTGTGGCAAGAATAGGGGATGAGAACTTAAAACATAATAATATCAAAGCATTTACATTTACAGGAAAATCTCAGACTAAAAGCAAATATGCTAACTATAATCTTGATATATCTAATGCTGCTGAGTTTTAAATTTATCTTATTTTAACACAGTATTAAATATCTGCAGGCTGTAAATCAGTGATTCCCAACTCTGGGATGGTTTTGCCCCATAGGAGCACTGGGCAATGTCTGGGGACATTTTTGGTTGTCACTACATGGGGTGGGAGGTAGGCTGTGTGTGCTACTGCATACAGTGGACAGAGAACAGGGATGCTGCTAAACAGGACAGCCCCCCTCCCCAACAACAAAGAATGTGTCCAGGATGGCCCCCCACAACAAAGAATGATCTAGCCAAAAATGTCAATAGTGCTGAGGTTAAGACACCCTGGTTTTTAAATGATCATTTAACAAGTAGTCATTATTTTTAGAGTGTTTGAAGAAATTTATTCAGAAATGTTTCTAATTTTTTTCTGACAAGTCTGATTAACAATACATTTAGAATGGCTTTCATTATTTATGATTTCTCACTCTCAAAGGAATGACTTGAGAGTTACAAGATTCGGCTTTCAAAACAATCTTTAAAAAATTAGACTTTTAAGCTAAAACCATGATGTAATTATAAAAACACTTTACCCTGAATAGGAGCTTCTCTGGCCGGCTCCGGATTGCTTGGGGGGTGGTTTGAAGTAACAGGAGGCACAAGGGATGAATGATCTTCTGTCCATTCTACAAGAAAAAGAAGACACAATTTCCTGTTTTTCCTTCAAATGGCTCATTGACTTTATGAGTCACCTTCTTCTTAATAATACCAAACCAATAAAACCAAAGGCAGATAGCTTAGATTAAAAAGAAATTGGTATCTGATCTCACTCTATCAAGATCTCTTTCTCTTGTCTAACACATTTGGGGAAAAAGTACTGTGATATAACCAATAAAAAATTCCAGTTTTCTGGCTGGACAGTACAAAGTGAGATCAAGTAAAAAATATCAGGAAAGGTATAGAGTCAACTAAAGTCAGCCCTGTAAGGGAGAAAATTCTCTAATGCAATTGAGACACAGGCTGGGCTGCTGCAGCCTGCTTGTCTTGGGTGGTGAGGTGGATGAAGGTGAATTTCAGCAGTTTGCTAAGGGGTTATCTTGTGTCATCTCTAAAATCAAATTGGGACCCATTACCAATATGCCTTGATCCCAACTATAGACCTAGTCACTTTGGAAGCCCCAAAGTAACTCACAGCTAGTGACCCTTGGGTCATCTCTAAAATCAAATTGGGACCCATTACCAATATGCCTTGATCCCAACTATAGACCTATTCACTTTGGAAGCCCCAAAGTAACTCACAGCTAGTGACCCTTGAGATATATACCTGAGTTACCTTCTATCTCAGTTAACATATTCGATTGCACACTCCCATTCCCNGATATATACCTGAGTTACCTTCTATCTCAGTTAACATATTCGATTGCACACTCCCATTCCCCAAACTGTAATTTCTAACATTACCAAGTTTCACCAGTTCACGAAAAATAATTTTAAAATGTTCTTTTTAAATACAAAAGAGATTAAGGTAGAGAAGAGAACTTTTTAGATGGGCAAATATACACAGACATACACACACTTTCTCTTTAAATTATCTGGTCCAGGGCAGTGGTTGGCAAACTATAGCCCATTGGCCAAATTGGGCCCAATGCCTTTTACATTTTTAAATGGTGGGCAAAAAGAATATTTTGTTACACATGAGAATTACATCAAGTTCAAATTACAGTGCCTATTAATAAAGTTTTACTGGGACACAGCTATGCCTATTCATTTATATATTATCCGTAGCTGTTTTCATACAATGGCAGAGGTGAGTAGTTGTGACAGAG